AGGGGAGTTGGACTAGATAATCACTAGAGGTCCCTTCCAACTCAAATAATTCCGTGATTCCTTGATTCTATGAAACAGGCACAGGCAAGGCATATTCATGAAGACAAGACAGACAAGCCTGTAAAATGTGTAGGAAGACCTTCACTCTCTGGAATGCAGGTCTTGGCAGTAATTAAAACCTGGGTGACTTCAAGTAAACTTCAAGGTTTTTACTGTGTTTTGGGGAATCTGTCAACTTACACGAGCAACTTTAGAGCAAGTTATAAAGAGATTGATGCTGTTCTGGCATGATGCAGTTCAAAAACCAACCATTTGCAGAGTCACAGCTGTCAGCTGTGTTGTACCTGCAAGGAACTACTTGCATTGGCAAACCACGCAAAGTCCACCACAAGACTGTCAACATTCCTGGCTCACACAAATTAAAGATTGTTTCTGCAAGACAGATGGACTCTAACACCAAAAAAAAAAAGGCATTCTGAGATGAATAGACATAAATAATAATAATAATAATAGTAATAATAACAGATCAATCTCCTACATCTGGAATTACGTAAGAAGCTGATCCTGAGGTTCAAAGAAAGCCAACATGGATGTCACAAGGATAGGCATTTTGCAACCAAGATACTTCAGAGGGAAAAGAACCTTGTTTTAAAAGTCCATCAATCTTCCAAAAAAGCTTGTATCAATTACAACACTGAAGTGGTAAATGGGGCTTAGTCAAGTTCCCATGGTAGAGGAAGAGAGGCAGACTAGGGGTATTCACAACTTTTTCCTCCATGCTTAAAGGGAATTCAGGACAAGGAGTGGACCTTGTAAGTCCCCAGACCAAGTCTGAGTATATACAAACACAAGACTGGGAAACTGAATATGGGTAGGCACACAATAGACAGAAGAAAAATCATAGCTATCTTATAGCATATTCACTAACAGAAGCGACTAAACTAATCCTCTTGAGGCTTTAGAAGAGCCAGACAGTATATCCATCTAGCCAAGCCTATAATACACCCTTCTTTTTCAGCAAGGCTCTTCTGGATTACTGATGCATTTTTCAGATGCTAGTCCAGAGATAGATTAGATCCCATGGCAGGCCAGAAGATTACACAGTATTTCTTCTTTGTCAGTTTATCCTTCTGAATTCCCAAATTCTTACATCACTGAGCTTGGTGTTCCCACACGTACGGAAGAATGTCCCTATTGCAGAGCAGCCTATCACCTGGTAAAAGCACAAGCTGCAAGATCAATTGCCCTCAGGATGAAGACAGCTAGGAAGACGCCTTGTGCTAAACATGTTTTCAATTGCGTTTTGGGTTTTTTTAAATTATTTTCCCTTTCTGAAGATTGAAGTAGCATTTACAGTTGAAGCTTCTGCAATGACTATATGCTGTTAGTTTTAAAAATCCTTTAATTAAAAATTACAATAAAAATCAGACTATGGTTAAGACTAAGGCTGATCAAAATTGTTGGTCAAGACTAAGTTTCTAAGGATCAGGTCTTTATCTATGTTTCCAAGGGCCACAGCACACTCTGTACTTTCCAATTTTAAAATCTGAATGGAGTTTTTTTCCTGTATAATTACACAACTCCAAACTGCTTTATTCAGCTTTGCTTTTTTTGTATACACATGAAAAACACACCTAAGAATTGCACTGCCAACTGTCAACCTACACAGAGCTTTTGCAATCTTAAATCCTTGTGAATTCAAGGACCCAAACTTTATACTTTAATACAGAATCACAGAATACAATTGTTACCCTGTAGTCAGCAAGAGGCCACACAGTAAATTCCAGTTCCATTTGTCTTCTGAAGACTGGAGAAATACTAGTAAACGTATGAAGTCTGAGATGAAGTCTTTTAAAGAAAGGTATTAGTGGCTTTTTAAACTCAACTGACTTGCAGCTGAAGTTTCACTGTGGAATTGGGGTCCAATTGGAGAAGAACATCAGTTTCCACCTAAAAGTCTCCTCTCCATCATGAGGACAGAGCTCACATAGTTGGCCCTTGCTACACAGGAGTACACAACTCATTCTGCCTGCACCCCAAAAGTACAATATCAGCTTGAAGCTGCAAAACCAGTTAAGACTGCTCTGGTAACTATCACAGGGACAGGACTTAGTACATAACAACTGTCAGCTTTGCTGGACTGGTCATACTCAAGAGCCATATACTGCAGGCTTGAAGTAGCCATGAAGAGAAGGCTGAGGGGAGACCTTATCAATGCCTATAAATATCTAAAGGGTGGGTGCAGGGAGGATGGAGCCAGATTCTTTTCAGTAATTCCCAGGAATTACTTGACAGGAAGAGGGGCAATGGGCACAAGCTGGAACATGGAAAGTTCCACTTAAATATGAGTAAAAACGTCTATACAATGAGGGTGACAGAGCACTGGAACAGGCTGCCCAGGGAGGCTGAGGAGTCCCCTTCTCTGGAGATATTCAAGACCCACCTGGATGCAGTCCTGAGTAAAGTGCTCTAGGGGATCCAGCTTTAGCAGGGGAGTTGGACTAGATAATCACTAGAGGTCCCTTCCAACTCAAATAATTCCGTGATTCCTTGATTCTATGAAACAGGCACAGGCAAGGCATATTCATGAAGACAAGACAGACAAGCCTGTAAAATGTGTAGGAAGACCTTCACTCTCTGGAATGCAGGTCTTGGCAGTAATTAAAACCTGAGTGACTTCAAGTAAACTTCAAGGTTTTTACTGTGTTTTGGGGAATCTGTCAACTTACACGAGCAACTTTAGAGCAAGTTATAAAGAGATTGATGCTGTTCTGGCATGATGCAGTTCAAAAACCAACCATTTGCAGAGTCACAGCTGTCAGCTGTGTTGTACCTGCAAGGAACTACTTGCATTGGCAAACCACGCAAAGTCCACCACAAGACTGTCAACATTCCTGGCTCACACAAATTAAAGATTGTTTCTGCAAGACAGATGGACTCTAACACCAAAAAAAAAAAGGCATTCTGAGATGAATAGACATAAATAATAATAATAATAATAGTAATAATAACAGATCAATCTCCTACATCTGGAATTACGTAAGAAGCTGATCCTGAGGTTCAAAGAAAGCCAACATGGATGTCACAAGGATAGGCATTTTGCAACCAAGATACTTCAGAGGGAAAAGAACCTTGTTTTAAAAGTCCATCAATCTTCCAAAAAAGCTTGTATCAATTACAACACTGAAGTGGTAAATGGGGCTTAGTCAAGTTCCCATGGTAGAGGAAGAGAGGCAGACTAGGGGTATTCACAACTTTTTCCTCCATGCTTAAAGGGAATTCAGGACAAGGAGTGGACCTTGTAAGTCCCCAGACCAAGTCTGAGTATATACAAACACAAGACTGGGAAACTGAATATGGGTAGGCACACAATAGACAGAAGAAAAATCATAGCTATCTTATAGCATATTCACTAACAGAAGCGACTAAACTAATCCTCTTGAGGCTTTAGAAGAGCCAGACAGTATATCCATCTAGCCAAGCCTATAATACACCCTTCTTTTTCAGCAAGGCTCTTCTGGATTACTGATGCATTTTTCAGATGCTAGTCCAGAGATAGATTAGATCCCATGGCAGGCCAGAAGATTACACAGTATTTCTTCTTTGTCAGTTTATCCTTCTGAATTCCCAAATTCTTACATCACTGAGCTTGGTGTTCCCACACGTACGGAAGAATGTCCCTATTGCAGAGCAGCCTATCACCTGGTAAAAGCACAAGCTGCAAGATCAATTGCCCTCAGGATGAAGACAGCTAGGAAGACGCCTTGTGCTAAACATGTTTTCAATTGCGTTTTGGGTTTTTTTAAATTATTTTCCCTTTCTGAAGATTGAAGTAGCATTTACAGTTGAAGCTTCTGCAATGACTATATGCTGTTAGTTTTAAAAATCCTTTAATTAAAAATTACAATAAAAATCAGACTATGGTTAAGACTAAGGCTGATCAAAATTGTTGGTCAAGACTAAGTTTCTAAGGATCAGGTCTTTATCTATGTTTCCAAGGGCCACAGCACACTCTGTACTTTCCAATTTTAAAATCTGAATGGAGTTTTTTTCCTGTATAATTACACAACTCCAAACTGCTTTATTCAGCTTTGCTTTTTTTGTATACACATGAAAAACACACCTAAGAATTGCACTGCCAACTGTCAACCTACACAGAGCTTTTGCAATCTTAAATCCTTGTGAATTCAAGGACCCAAACTTTATACTTTAATACAGAATCACAGAATACAATTGTTACCCTGTAGTCAGCAAGAGGCCACACAGTAAATTCCAGTTCCATTTGTCTTCTGAAGACTGGAGAAATACTAGTAAACGTATGAAGTCTGAGATGAAGTCTTTTAAAGAAAGGTATTAGTGGCTTTTCAAACTCAACTGACTTGCAGCTGAAGTTTCACTGTGGAATTGGGGTCCAATTGGAGAAGAACATCAGTTTCCACCTAAAAGTCTCCTCTCCATCATGAGGACAGAGCTCATAAATGAGGACACTGACTCTGTTTCCTGTCAAAGTTGATTTGGAAGGAGATTATTACAGATTGCTTGAATATCACCTTTTAGAAAGAACAAGATTGGAAAAGCCAGCTTCTTCAAGGAGACATCAGAGTTATGTTAACAGCCAGCACCAAATCCTAGCAAGCTCAGCAAGATGCAGATCACCTGTTCTGATGCTATGTTAGTCACTGCAGAGCTTGAAAGGCAAGACAGCCTAGGTTCCGCATACAAGCGCTAGGCCTCCTGGGCAAACAGTCAACAGCATGACACACAGGTTTTATTTTTCAAAGAAGATGTATATAATTGCTGAAAAATACTACCAGTAAAAAAATCCAATGGAAGTTGCTGAAGTAAAACAGAAGAAGTTTTGTTTACAACCAAAGAGCACAATTTAAACAGTAACTCATTTAAGGTGGTTTTCCTCAGTACATTCCATATTCTCTGCAATTCAGCTGCTACCTGTATTACATCACTGTGTTACCACAAAGAAAAGAACATTTTCCCCTTACCTCTCTGTCAGACTTAGCTGGAATCTGCCCTTGAGACTCCCTCAGTTTCCGTGCGCTCTCCAGTTCTGCTTGAAGTTTTGAAGCTAACTCCTTCAAAGAAAAAGGTAGTACTCCATTAGTTTAGCCATTTAAAACTTTTATAGACTTTTATATCAAATATTCATTCAATTTTTTCATATTTTTTTTTAATCTAATGACACAAAAGGCTAAACATGTCAATAGCATTCACAAAATTCTTTAATGGAGCTAAAATTAAAATTATGTTCCAAAAAGGGTATCTGAAGTACAGAAACATATACTGTCATAAAAACACCAGAAAAATTATACTGAAGCATTATTCAATTATACTAATAAATGTTTTGTGTAGCTAAGCAGATATAGATGACACTTTATGTACAGGAAGCTAAATAAGGAAACCTGAACACATCAAGTGTATAACCTTTCCATGTATAGGCACATACATACACATATGCACACAGTGGGTCTAGGGAAATATCTCTTACACACTTTTGCTATGCAGTTTCACAGCTCTCTATACCAGATGTCCAACTTTGGAACTTAAGGCCTTACTTTGGTTATGAAAATGGGCAAGAAGTGGAAAATCAGAACTGTTTACAGTCTTGTATAAATTGTTTTTTATGCTCCTGCCCTCTCATTGATCCTTTTATTAAATAAATACAAGCATTTAACAATAAACTTGTTTTACTAAGAATTGCCAGGTGACCACCTATCAACCTATAAGAAATACAACCATTTATACTCTGACCACTCTGCCAGTTTCATTGATTGGACTCCAACAATCATATGTTGCCCCAAAATTAAGTCATGTGATCAACACCAGGCAGCAAATCAGTAACAAAAACAGGTTCAGAATTCCTTTGTCCCACATGGTCAACCATGGCTCCTGCCTCCAGGATGTGCTGTGACATAAGTATCTGGTCTCGTGTGCGTGGATAAACATCTTTGAACAAGCTGCATTTTCAGTCTGATCAGAGAAAGTCCATGAAAAAAAACATCTGAAGAGCAACAAGGCCAAGATTATTTTACTATTTATACTGTCTTTGTGTTTTGTTTTTGTGTTTTAACTAGGCTAATTCACAGTGCATAGCTAGAAAAATGTATATGTATAATTAACAGTAAAATTGTGATGTTGGCTGCTGCTATATGATTTTGGTCAAAACAAAATGGTAGAATAGTAAAAGAATCACACTCTTCATAGAATACTTGTATATTTTTATTCAGATTACTCTTATGCAGTTGCTGTCAGGTTGAAAAGAAAAAAATCCACACTTGTGCCTAAGCTTTTCTTTGTATGCTGCTACTGAAGCTGAACAGTAGGAAAAAAAAAAATCTTTAGAAAACATTCCCCTCACCAGTACTTAAGAGCAACTAGTGCTAGATAGCGTTAATCATTTTCCCGTGTAGAAAAATGTCTTAAAATAAAAGTGACTAACACCAGTCCCTCATAAACATATTATACAATTACTTTTATAAACATATTTTTTTCCTCACTAGTGTATTTTTTGTGCATTAAGTAGGAAAATTAGATTAAAACTAGATTAAAACATGGAGGCATCTAAATTATTAACACTTATTATATCTTAGTAGTAAATCCACTGCTTCACCTTACTTTTCAGTCACTTCTGAAGCTGATAAGATTTCAAAAGGGCAGGTTTTCTAGAAAAGTTGTATTTGTTCAAATTTTCTAAAGTTATATACACAAATTTGTGTCTAAAGTCTGTGAAAAAAATAATCCATAATATAAAAACAGTTTGAAAAGGAAATATTTATAAAAAGGACACTTTCTCCTAACAAAATCTAAATTATGTGATAGTGTGATAGTTGCTTTGACAAAGATCTATACTATGTCCTACAATAAATTCATATGCCAAATATCCTAAAAATTCCCACAAATCAAAGAATCATTGCCTCTCAGGAAATATTAATTTGGCACTTGAAGTTGGCTTATTTAAACCTCTTAGTGATGGAGATTTTGGTGCAACTGTCACAACAGCCAAGGTAAACAGATGCACTAAAACTTAGCAGTTAAAAGAAAACACGAGAGCCTATAGTGATAGCAGTCAGAACTATAAAAGTTATTTTATTATATCCATCAAAAAAAAATCAATACTTCCTTAAGAGCAGGTATTCAAAGCAAGCACTTGTAAAACATACCTTAAAAACCGACTATGACCCTGTTACAATTGAAACTTCCAGGCAGTACTACTGAATGCAATCAAATCACTACAATAATTAAGGTAACAAAAAAAAACTATATCCTTCCAGAATTTAGGGGATTCTGAGTGAGTGAAATTTTTGATCCTTCAGGCTGCTGTCTGAAACAAGCCTCCTAAACCAAAGGTAAACACGCAGCTGTTTATCTCAGCTCCATGGACCCAGCCTCCCTCAGGGCAGACATGCTGTGGAACTGAGCACAAAGCATTACACAGGTGTGCTCATTGCAGAGCTGGATGCAATGGCCTGTGTGGTTCCTTTCAGTTTTATATTTCCATATCTTAATGAATAACTGTGGTTATATGGCAGAGCTATGGACCACAAGCATCTACCTGTGACAAAGTGGATGAAATAATAAAAGCTCCATATACTGTCTACCATGTAACACAGATGGGGAACTTCATAGATTTCACCTGCTATTGCTTAAAAAAAAAGACATTAAATTCTGTAAAAAGGCAGAGAAAAACTGCTTTTCGATATGTTGCCTTGCCTACAGAACCTGGGGACCTGAATAATCTATTATAGCCTGTGAACAACTGCATTTGAAGCAGAAGTTACAGTAAAAGCAGTATATTCAAATCCTACCTGATTGAACTTTGCCTAACTTTATTTGCTTGAATCAATACCTTTTTTTCTTTTTAAACTAAATCATTGTGAGCTTTAAAGAATGGCAGTAAATCATTGACAGTTTCTCAAAGACATTACCATGTCTCCCATGAGTTCAGCTTTCACAATCCTTGCTCCCAGTCTGTTCATCTCCTCTTCACTAAGGACCCGAGGCGGCTCATCCTTTGATTCATGTCTGTAAAACACCAGTAGCATTAAACCCATAGAAAAACAGTGTAGTATTCACCTATACAATCAAGTATTAGATGCCTAGTGTACTGGTACATATGCTTCTATTGTCAAAATAACTGATAATATACTACAAAAATATATTGCAGTCAGAAGTTGCCAAAGACTCCGAAACCAAAAAGCTTGAATTAATTTTTTATGAGGTATGTTTCCTTTTACTTTTTAAATCAATTAAAATCAAAAGTACTATGAAAACTTTCTCAGCATGAAAAAATCAAGAGCCAGTGGCAGGCATAAGCAGAAAAAAAGGAAAAGCTGAGCAGAAAGAGTAATTTAAACCCACTCTGTACCTGTCCTTTCTTCTTCTATTTCTCAGCTCCAGCAAAATCATCTATTTCTCAGTTGCTCTCCTGTACATCTAGTGGCCCTGCATCTCTTGAATATGCTCATATTCACCTGCTCACGGTACAATCTTTGCTTCTAAAGATGTTATGTCCCATATGGTATAGATTCCATGGAAAATTAATTAGTACCATTTTAAAAATATGAAGTCTCCTTTGAGAAGCTACAGCTAGTACTAAGTAGTTTTGTATCTTAACTCTAGTATTAAAAGGTCAGTGTATGTGTTCTTATAGTAATACATAAGGTCTCTTATTGCAAAGAAGCACCAAACAAGTTTGGCTCTTTTCCTCTAAGTCTGGGAAAGCCTAAAACCAACTAACTCTGCCAGTAAAATATCTAACACAAGTGACATAGGAATACAATTATGATATTGGTCCCTGCTATTACCAGGAAGAGAATTCAGTCACTACTCAATATGGTTAAACCCTGCTGAATTTGAAAAACAGGAGAACTTTAAAGATGGTGTAATTTTTAACTGCCAGATCTCACCAGCCCTGAGGTAATTACCAAATTTACTTTTATATGCCCAAACCAAAGCCCAAAAACGCAGCAGAAACATTTACATTAATTTAATCTGAAGTAGAACTTTCAAAGATTAAATTCTCACTTTTTCAGAACAAGGCAGACTATTTCAGTAAAGGGATCAAGAGATGTTTATTATTTCAATACATGGGCTTTTTAAGTGGCATTAGTGCTTGAATCATCTTCTGAACTTTTTGAGATTAGAGACATTGTTTTGTTTTTTATCTTGTCTCAAATTAAACTCTGAAGCAGTCACATTTTAATTGTGATTTTCAGCAAACACTAGGTGGATGGCCTTTTCCTCTGGGGAGATCCCTTGGATATCCAATCAGCACTTTTAATTAATTTGTATCATAACTGTCCAAAACACTTTGATTTATAGGCTGAAGAAACTCCCTCAGTGTTACAGAAGGGATAAAACTTAAAAGGTACATTGTCAGCGTGAGAGATGAGGAACTGACCCAGCAACACCTCTTAATCCAAGCCTTCACATCAATGAAGATTTACTTTTTGTGACTGACTGAACCCACTGAAAGAGAACAAGTATTACAAGACTTAAAACTTCAGGAAGAAGAAGCATATAAATTATTCCAAACAGATAACTACCCCATATATCCAAACTTGAACTGTTCCAAGAGCCAAAATTTTCAAAAACACTCTAAAAAAAAAAACCAAACCCAAACACCTCTAAAAAAAAAAAAATTCACACTGAAGGAAACAGGAAGGCATGTCATCACTATCTTAAATATACAGAAGCTTAGGAGTTAAGCATCAGCTTAAAGGAACTTGGAAATAAGAGAACCCTGTATGTTTTTCCAAGCCCAAGTAATGTCCACCATGCTACTAAATTATCTCAGTAATTGTACTGGCTAAGAAATAGAATTAAAATATCACGATCAGGTTTAACAGTACTAAAACAGAAAACACATGCAAGAGAAAATATCAACTAAATAGTTTCTAAGCTTAGTTCTCATCTGTGAGGAAAAAAAAATCTTTTCTATCATAATAAATGAATTATTTTTGCTCTTCTGATTCCCTCTGCAGGAATGGGAATCAGCAAGCAGCTGGGTACTCTCTTAGTTGCTTGATGAGGTTAACATACCATACATACAAATATTTATTTCTCATTTTCCAGCAAAATAACACCTAGCTAAACACCAAAAGAAGCAATAAAATAAGACATGGCAAACACTTCTGAGGGACTTTTCATAGTGCATACAAACTACTCATGCCAGGATTGCAAACTACTCCTGCCATGATGTGTATTTAAACTCAAGCTTTTTAAAATAAACAAACACAAATACATTAATTAGATTAAGTGAACATCATGCAAACAATTTATCTTCCCAATATCAAAGAAAAAGTAAATTTCACTGGATTCTATCAAAGTAGAAAATCTAGCAAGCAAAATCTGGAAAAAATACCCAACCAATACATGATAAAGAATTCTGTAGACTAAGCTGCCTGCTTCTGGTTATTCCTGCCGTACTCATTTAATGTACCATTTTTCTTGGAAAATAGACAGTGAGGTATCTCCAAGAGCTACACTCAGGAACAGTTATAAATAACAAATACTTTTAAGGTATTGCCTTATTATTAGAATCAAGCAATTAAACATTAAAAGTACATTCATAACCCTGCTATAAGAAGGTTTATATACATAAACGTATAAGAAAGAAGGAATTACACAGAATATTTCATCAAATGCTGTTTCTAATTGAATCAGATTATCCTTCTTACATGCTTTGACCAAGAATATTTACTTGTCCAGCTTTCCCAAGCAATCAAATAATTCCAACCTGAGCCTAAAAGACTTTTGAACCTGTGTATCTACTACCAGGAAGATATGAAGGAAAGCATGCACAGTAATAACCAAATAATTCCTATCACTGGAAGAACCAGTCAAGCTGGTAATACTGGAGAAAAGGTGGCCTAGAGTAGAATAAAAGATCAAGTTATTATCTGACCACCTCTCCTTACTACTCTCCTTCACTAAAGCAAGTCAACTGAAATTCCTACAGCATATAGTTTGCGTTTCCCTTCCCACTCCTATTGATCTTTTCCACAGAAAATGAACCTTTCTAATCAATACCTTCTACTATTTTTCATGTGCTAGTACTTTAGCATGGGTTCATCTTACAGGTGGCAGACCTATTCATGAAGTATTAATTACTTCAGCATTTTCTAACATTTCAAGTTTGTTTCAAGGTATTGTTTATAAATTCAACAACAGTAAAGATACTGTTTTGCAGGGTTTTGGACTTTTTTGCCTAAGAGGCAAATTTTACTGCAGTGTGTACTAGCCTTAGAAAGAAAGAGAAAATAATCATCAGCAATTCTCAAATATGCTGAGAAGACAGGACAACTAGGAGTGCTCATTACATCTGCAGTGGTCTGCTTTAGCTGCCCTAGTTGGGAGGCTAGCCTCCTCCTAACTAAAGACATCTGATATTATCAGATTTAATACTGTTACAAAGAAGATAGAGTTTCCAGCATATTTTGCCATGAAAAATACAGCAAATAAAAGTTGTCTATAAGATACCTAGAACATGATGTTTTACTGTCAGATAAGATTTGTTTCTTCTCAGGGATATTGCTTGGGTACTCATGTTGCGACTTCTCTTTTTCATCTCCTGGAGTTTTTTCCCAACTATTGCCATCAATTTGTTCCCTAGTACCTGACGATTTTTTATCAGACATTAATTTCTCACTTTTATCTTCTCTGTGTGTTTCATTCCACAGTGCAGTATCCTCACTAGGTTTTTGGAAAAGGCTGCTCAAAGAGCTAGGATCCGGCAGTTTGGAAGAGGACTGCTGTGACTTGTAGTCTCTAGGTGAACTGCAAGATGGTAAGTCATCTTCAGAGGGCTTCAGAAATTTGTGTTTCACGTTGCTTAGCAATGAGCTCCTTTCCTGACTTCGTTTTTCATCAGAGTTCTTCTCTGCTCTGGAGCTGAAGCCTTTGGATACAGAGTCTGTGCTATTGTGTCCCCGGTCTTCTCTTGACATACCTTTTTTGTAACCTTTGTCTTCTTGCATCCATTCCTTGCCATACTTCTCCCTAGTATAGCTCCCAAACTTGTTCCTGTTCCCATCACCTTCATCTCGTGTCTCCTTTTTTATATACCGTTCTTTCTTCTCTTTCTCACTTTCTGAATAGTCAGTTTTCTTCCATCTTTCACTTCTATAACAATTTTCTTTTCTGGGCGCAGATTTTTCAGCTTCTTCTAACCGTGACTGAAACGCTTCCATTGACTGTAAGAAAGAATAAAAAAAGTCATACTGCTTTTAAGATTACGAGGTATTCTGAATCTCCCTACAAAGTATCACAAGAAAGGCACCATCCTCTGAAAATCAGTCACTGAGCAAAGGGGCAAGCCATGAAGTGTAAAGGAAGACTAGTACAAAAAAAGGAAACTTAGAGTTTTGGTTTTAAGATGTTCTGTTGGGAAGGCCTTCTGATGCTGTCTCTTGGACTACTTCTAACTTTCATTCCATGGCTCTGAAGGGCTAAAGCACTCCTGGGAACAGGGACCAGAGCCTTAGAACTGTCTCCTCCTCTCAACCCAGAGATGGGGTCTTGAGCTAGGGAGAAAAGCTTCCTCTTTCTTACTCACAAACTTTGCATTAATGCTTACTAGATGCTCAGTTTCTGTAGAACCAATGGACATTCCCACTAAGCCATTTTACAGTCTAATTATACTTTTAAAAACACAGCAGAGTGGGTTCAAAATATTTAGCTTGAAACACCCTTTGAACTCCTGTCTCTGGCCTTCTGGACTAACACTCTAACCATTAGGAAATTATGCAACATGTGGCCCGTTCCTCTTCCCTCTTTTCAGCTGAATTAAAAGCCACTGATTACTTTTTTTGTTGTTTGTATTTTTTGCTTTTAAAAAAAACATGACATACTGAAACAAATCAGGCAGGGATCTTGTTTCAATCACTATTCTCTATTTCAGCAGCCAGAGTGGTTGAACTCTCTTGAGAAAGATTCTTAGTATGAAAAAGATTAAATTGAAGATCCTTACCCCATATCTCTCAGCTACAATTTCCTCAATGTTTCGTTTCTCTCTCTCAGCCTGCTCCTTCATCCTTTGGTATGATTTTCGTAACCAACTTAATCCAGCATCTTCTACCACTGTACCTAAAGTAGAAAACAAGGGGAAATTGTAGTTTTATATCACAGTAGTTATTCTAATTTAGCTTTATTCTGTATGTGGTGTTAAACTTTCACCTAAATTTAATGTAAAAATGGAAGGAATTCAAAAGAAAAACAGAAATAATGTCATAATACATGTTTTTATAAGTTAATGCTGGATATATCTCAGTAATACCACTGAGCTTCTCCATTTTACCACAGAACACAACAAGCAGTTTCCAAGACAGGAATGGCATATGAGAAGTTGTGGAGGGTTTTGTTAAATTAATGAACCTTCTTATAGTCTTCATTTTTTAAGTCCATTCTTTGGCACACCCCTTACATATAAACAAGAGTATTGCCCTTCTCAAAATTCATGAGTAACCCACTGCTTTCCATTTGAGAAGGTTGCAGAGGTCTTAGCATTCGGGACACATACTCACTGATGCCTGTCACCTCTTACAGGTTGCTGATCTCTGTGACTCCTAAAGTGGGCATGAGGCTAGTGGTGTGTATGACAGACTGTTCACAGGGAAAGGTTCCCAAAGAAAAGTCAAGGACCCTACTATTCCCTGTTGACAGAATACAAGAAGCCTTCTCACATAGTAAATAATTTAAAACTATAATGTGTGTAATGGAATGAAAGGAACCAAATGAGATGACAATAATTTATCTTATCTTGATTAAATCATGCTTTCCTTTTACTAGTTCAAAATGGAGAATTTCTTTAAAGATATTGAAGGTCAAACCACTCAAGATTAAAAACCAGTGAAGAGAAATTCTGCAAAACAACATACTATGATATCCCAACATTCACTACTGAATTTCCACCCAAATTTTATTACACGTTATTCATAATCACTTTATAATCAACATCAGCAGTAACTTGTTAGCAACACAGAGACCAGATACTGGAAACAGAAATTTAAGATTATTACTAAAAGTTGACGTTACCTTTCTTAACTGAAGTTGCTTCATCCTTCTCTGGCGGCAAACCTGTACCACCATCTTTCCAAAAGGGATTGAGTTCTCTCTCAGACAGCATGGCCTAAAACAGAAATAATTGTAATGTGTGTATAGTTTGTATTTCCTGGAATATTTGACAAATTTTGTGATTCTTTTGTGGGAACAGCTTACTTATAACCTATGCTATCTAAAAGACACCTCAAAATAACATACCTTGCCATTCCAAGTCAAAGCTCTGAAATGTGCTTAGCTGGCACACACGTGGCACAGAAGCAGTATTACTGTTTGACTGTGTTCATTTCTGGGCCTCTCACTACAGGAAGGGCATTAAGGTGCTGAAGAGTGTCCAGAGAGCTACCAAGCTGGTGAAGGGCCTAGAGAACAAGTCATACGAAGAGCAGCTGAGACAACTGGGGATGTTTAGTTTGGAGAAAAGGAGGCTGAGGGGACACCTCATTGACCTCTACAACTACCCGAAAGTAGGCTGTAGGGAGGTGGGTGTTTGCCTCCTTCTGCCAGGTAAGTAACGACAGGACCAGAAGAAATGGCCTGAAGTTGCAGCAGAGGGGGTTTAGATTGGAAATCAGGAATGATTTCTATACTGAAAGAGTGGTCAGGCACTGGAACAGCCTGCCCAAGGAGGTGGTTAAGTCACCATCCCTGGAAGCATTCAAGAAAAGTGTAGATGTGGCACTTCAGGGCATGCTCTAGTGGACGAGACTGTGGGGTTTTTTTGTGTTGATGGTTGGAGCCTGTGATCTTAGAGGTCCTTTCCAACCATGACAATTCTGTGATTCACTCACTGCCAGTGTAGCAGCAATACACACTTGTATCTAAAGCAGTGCTGTTATGAGGGTTCCTATTTTTACATTGAGTTACCGCTTTTCACTCTCAAACTAGATCGCTTACTATGATTTTGTCAACTGACTTCTCTGGGAAGGCAAGGAAGTCCAGTGGAGAAAATAATTGAGTAGCCATTCCAGCACTGACCAAATTTTTAATTCTTCTGTCTCATATCATTAACTCATCACCACCAGCAGCATGCTGTATGCATCTGTTTGATACATAAAACAATGTGTACAAGAAAGGACAGACATTCTGGTGTAGAAAACACAAAAGTATAAACCTGCACAGAGAGCAAGTGGTTAAGTGGAAGAGTCTAAATCATATGACCTCCCAGGACATATATATAAATTGTTAATCACATAATAGATGCTGACATTCTGGTGACTTCGGATGTTCTCATTAAATGCTCTTTCAATAGTTCAGAAAAAAAAATGTTATGTGGGGAAAAAACAAAAAGATTAATCCCTGCTCAAAAGACAACAACCAAGGTGCTGCATACTACACAAGAACAGCACTCCAGGTTAATTGGTTCCTACTCACGACACAAATAACTGGAAAACCAAAGCGCAACAAATGGCCTAGTGGGAGATGTGCAGAAAAGTAAATATTACACAATGATCAGCAAGTGTTTTCAGATCAGGCTACACTGCTTTTAAGGAGCTGAATGAATAAATGAAATAGCCAGCAACTGTACATAAACAGAACTAATTTAATGACAGCAACCCCTTCCACAGCTGGACCCTGACCCATCCATGCGTTTATGCACAATTACAGCATGAAAAGCAGAGCAACTCCTCCGAATTACTTCTTCAGGAAAATAAAAAGCCTCAGCACCCTGTGCTTTAACACAGAAACTTAGGTAAGCTTTTATCACACTCAGCCCTGGTGCTCCTTTCACACACACCTTGGGGAAGGCAGACAGACCAACAGCCTGTCACTGTTACCAAGTAAAGCATCTCAGAAGCACTTCAGTATCACAGAACTTAGTATCAGCAAAATTGGCTTTCTCCTTACCTAGAAGAGAGTATAAAGGCTTTTCTGCACAAGATAAGTCTGCTGTATGAACCCTTCCAGCCTCAAACAGGACAAAAAAAATAATAAAAAATCACTATCTCACACCACACCTGGCATTAGTTTAAAAACTAGACAAAGATTTGCATATTGGAACCAATTAACTAGTTCATTCATCACACAAAGTTTAGTAATATGCAGAAAAAAAAGCTAGCATATTAATTCCTCCTACCTGCTCAAGTTCTTGAGCTTTCTGTCGTTCCAATACTTTTTCTTTGTCTCTTTCACCTCTGACAGCAGCTGCTGATGTGGTTTTCAATGACATGAAGTCTAAATTCATCCATTCTTCTCTCTTTAAAATAAAAGAAAGAATCAGTGTTCGTATCTCCAACAAAAACATGGGTTAGGTACAAATCAAACCAGCACAACTACTGACAAATGTTCCTTACAATGAACAGTATAGGGTTTATGAATACACATTCAGTAAAAAGCAATTATTATTTTTAGAGTGCCAAACTTTAGGTTTTTTAATATTTCCTTACTCAAATCTCAAACATGTCTTTTTATAATTCGAAATACATCTTCATGTTCCATTTAAGACACTAGGTAAACACACAGTGTATAGACTGCTTATTATTTGCTTATTATTATGAACACTGTACATCTAGATCAATTTATTTTCATATTGCCAGTTCTGACCTCATAGCCTCTTGATCTCTTCTAGTGAATACAAAATCTGCAACTGCTGAGCACAGTGCCTACCTTATATATCTAGGCACTAATAGCACCCTTAAATAAAAGAGTTACACATCTAAATTCTGCCAACTGTACCCACAGTATCAGAAGAAAATTGCATTTACAAAACCTAAGCCAGACCAAGGACATTTTAAAAAGGAGGACTATATTTTAAAAGCAAGGACTACTCTCTCAAGAAAAGCAGGACTTGTATTTCATTACTTCATACTTTTCCAATAAGATAGCTATGATTCAAAGATCCTTTTTATTTCTCTTAACAAAATGCACAAATTCAGAATGAGAAACAGGGACTTTTATCAGGAGTGAAATAGGATTCTAAATAAAAAGATCATCACTTCACATAACTAAAATCACAGCAGTTCATTTCAGAATGACTCAATGTTCCAGAGTAAACACTGCTTACCGAGCAGAGTATCCACCTAGGAAGAAGCACTAATGCCACAGATATTGTGGCTGAATAGTCATACACCTTTCTTTCTTTCTTTCTTTTATCTGTTTAAGCACGACAGAAGCAAAATCCATTCACTGTAGAATAGCAAAACGAATTAGGCAGAAAAAATAACACCGCTAGTCAAGATCCTTAAGTTGACTTCTTCAAGAAAATCAGGCTAAGTTGCTAGAGCTGCAAAACATAGTGAAAGGAACTGGTGCTAGGCAGCTTTAAGTATAGCAGCCTTGTTAAATACTAAGCAACTATTAAGTAGAAAAGTCTTCCGATTAATGAAATGTAAGATTTACCCAGCTATGCAAAGGCATTTGTCTGTAAAATAGGTTTTGTTCAACACATTGTGAAAGAATTGTCACGAAACCTAAGCACGTTTCACATTTGGACATGCTGCATTTACTCCAGCAGTAGTTCTCAGACAGCTCACCTGCAGGAAGGGCTCTTTCACAGCATCTGATTGCTTGTTGACCTTCCAAGCCTTATCTGTGTTATCTGACTGTGACACATTTGCCTCAACCCATTCAACTGAAGAATCCTAAAAACAGAGCTTAATGTAAAGAATAATAATAACACCTTAACATACTAATGTCTGTCGACAGAATGCAATAATTACCAAGTATATTGAAAATAAAATTTAATGCAGATTACTAAGTACTAGTAATATATTTTATTATTTTAAAGTACTGATAATAAAAATAGGATATTGACATTCCCTTAAGAGATTGCTTCTTCATGATCAAAACATTCCACAGTACTTCATGAGCACATGACAGTATGTAACACTAGTTCATACTGGCGGTTGATCACCATAACATCACTACATTTAAAACTATCAGAAAAAAACAAAACCAAATATTTTTATGGAATTACAAAAAAAAATTTAAAATAAACAAAATCTAAATTCATTACTAAGTACATTTTACATTTAAAAAAAATCAGTAACAGTACAATATAAAGTACTGTACATGCAATCTCCTGTTTCCATATCCAACTTCCTACACTTGCAGTTGCAAAGAAGTGTACTGAGATGTTACACTTAAGCAAACACAACTCCACTGAACAGAGTTCACTTATTTACATTAATCTCTCATGGGAATAAAAGTCTTTAGATCAAAGATATCAGCCAGGAGTATGCTGTATCCTGGGGCTCACTGATGTTATCTGAGGGGTTTTCATGACTCCCATGGGAAATGTGGGACAATTATGGCTTAGGTTACTTCCCACACTGGAAAACATAGTTCACTTTCTGTATCAGTCCCTGGAAAATAAACCTCATTACATTGTATGCTGCTTCACTCAATAAAAGAGAGTCTCTGAAAAGAAAAAAAAAAAATTAAATGACAGTACTACCTGATTTGCACCAAAATACTGGGAGGACATTTTACACCATGTGGCCAGAAAGCAGCAGATTTCTAATGCAGTATCTGTACTGCTCTGCTAGAGTGCCCCTTCATGTGAAGGTACCTGCTTACAAAATCAAATGCACAAATCTGAGCCTTCCTTCAGGCTCAGGTACAACTCCCATGTTGTTGGGAAGTCCCATGGTTGAACACCTATAGAAAAAGGCAGCAGCAACTGGTGCTTAAAATCAAAGTCAAGTATTTACAATTTTAGACACATCATTCTTCCATCTACCACTGGCTACAGGGAACCTATGAATTTTTCCACTCTATCCTAAAAGAATTCTTTTTCTTCAATTTCTTTGCTGAAAAACTGTAAATCCCTCAGAATAAAATTGTGAAGGTTTTCAAAATACAATTTGAAGCATTTTAAAGTGTTTTACTTACCGAAGAACTATCAAGTAAGTCATCTTTCTTCTCAGATTTTTGTTTTTTATTTTTCTTCTTTTCTTTCTTAGCTTTTTTTGAATGCTTGTCCTTTTTCTTTTTTTTCTGAACAGAATGTTCCTACAGGTACATGTTTGTAAATAAGATCAGGTAACCAAATCATCCACATACAAGAAAAACAATCACAATCTACATACCAAACCACACTGAAGGTAAACAAACATAGCTGGACATGGCTACATTTTACTTCTACTACTACTCTCTCTCTCTCTCTTCTATCGAGCATATGCTTCAGATGCATAATCAACTTTTCTTCCGTCTTTCTTTTCCACCAGAACTAAGGCACTATAATTACACATAGAATATCTTTTACACTATATTTATTTTGGCAAAATCTATTTCCTAAGGAATCACTGCATCACCAATACACATCTGTCCTTTCTTGAAATATCTGCACAGATTTGTACACTAGAAGAATGCAATATTCAGAGGTTCCAGTAAGGCTTCTCCTGTGAATGACTACAAACAGGACTGCTACAAAGCCTTGGATCCCCCAGATTTATTCCTATGGGACTGCTCTTGTCTGCCAATGCCTGCACTTCTGCGCTTGGTAGAAAGTAAAGCTGGAAGGGAATTACAGGAACTTTTCTTCTTTGTAAGTAAAATATTTCCACTTTAAAAAGCATAAAGAATTCAGAAATTGGGAGGTTTTTAAAGATCATCTTAAATCCCTCAAAGTCTCCTGTTCATACAAAAATCCTGTAAAACTAACAACGCAATTCAATAATTTACAGTTCTATTACCTTTTCCAGTTGTTCCACACGTTCATTCACATCATCAAGCATCCACGTATCTTCACCTCGTAGATGCTTCAGCAGCTTCTGTCTCTGCTCCTTTTCATAACTAATTTTGGCCTAAGAAGAAAAATAACCAGGTGGAGTTCATTAGCATTTACTCACAGACACACATTGTAAGCCACTCTTGACAGAACCATACTCAATGTTAAGAACTGTGCCTGAGAACTTTTCCTTTTAGGGGACTGCAATAAAAATACTTTTAGAGTACATGTTAAAGGGCAAATTCAGCTAAAACATGTAATGCACACTCTTTTCTCAAGCTACAGCTTTGCATCTCCTCTAGCACCAATTTCATCCTATTATCCTAAATAAGAGTGATGCAAAGTCATTCAACTTATGTTCTTCATTCTGAGAAGTCTTTCTGTTCTTACAACCTTCATGAATGGCATGATTTGTGACACGATACCATATAGTGGACTTGGTGATCTTGTATTTCAAAAAATTCAGTTTCTTTCAGCAGAAACATAACTTTCACAAACAAGTTTACATAAATATAACTTGCCATTAGAAAACATTTTATCCCAAAGTGTGATATTTTACAACATCTGATTAATAGGAAGGAATTACTTTACATTATTACAATTCTAATTTTGTGTGAGATAAATCTTGTGAGTTTGAGCTTCCTTTTGTTTTTTTGTTTGTGGGTTGTTTTTTTAAATAACTAAAGTCAAAGCAAAAAACAAAGGTGGAGATTGGTTTTCATCCTGAAACACCAAGTTTTACTAGAAAGTGCTTTCAGTTATAGGCCAGGAGATTGTATACAAGTTTAAAAAAAGACTAACATTTAACAAAAAACATTTAAAAAACCCCCCACACACACACAAAAAAAACCAACACCAAAAAACCCCACAATTTAGGAGATTAGACAATCACTTGAAATCTTTCCTCCTGGTCAGCTATTAGTTTTTTGTATCGAACTCTAGCTACAAGCCTGTGCACTGCACAAGTCAGTAACCTCCCTACCATGGGGCAGTTTCTGTGTTTTGACACAGCCAAGGAGGAAATTTGCAGCTTTGTACCAACAGAAAATGAGACTTGCAGGAGAATGACAAAGTACACCATAAGGGTTGGATGAATACATGCTAAAATGTAAGATTAGAAAATTATTAAAAAAAAAAAAAAAAAAAGCTAACTCATAACATAGGAGTGCTCTTTGATTTTTTAACACTGTCATTAGCAATACTGAAAGTGGCCCAAAACCCAACCAAACAAAAAAATCAAAATAATATGTATTGGCACCCATCCTTTTAAATCTTCATTGTCTACTTTTTTAGAGGCTCTAGAAGGTGATAAACTTTCCAATGCACTTAAATGCAAGCAAAGTAAGGCTGCTTTCTGGACTTCTTGATTTTAAAAGGAAGAACAAAGCAAAACAAAGAAAAAAAACAGTTTAAGTCAGCATAGGATAGAATGCAGGTGACAGTCCACAAGGAAGGGAGGGAGGGAGGGAGGGAGG